TGGTTAGATTACAACAGAACTCAGTATTATTTTAGGCATATTTAGACATATAACGGGGTAGGAGGTGTTCTTAAAATGCCAGTTGATGTTGTACAAAACCAACAGCTGAGCAAGTGTGGGTTGTTAATCAGCTGAGTGCAGCAGATTAATGAAACGGACGTCCGACTCAATGTCTTGCCGCACGTCGAGCTTTACCAAGTATGAGGTATTTCCGGTGCTCACCCGAAATTACCACAGATTTCTACCTAAAGATGTCCGCTTCTATATTTATGGTCTCATTTTAAGAGCATGTACACATCATGTTAGTTCTTTCTTTAAAAAGTTTTAGAAAAAAAGGTTTATAAGTTTGGGCAAATCACATGTGCTGGAGGTTTCCTTTAAGTTCCGGAGTAAGACAATGACAGCTTTAAGATCATACATTCACGTTAACCTTGGCTGCTTGGTGTTGGCTTCAGTTCAATTTATACACGTGTCGATTGATTGTCATTAAAAGGAAGGTTCAGAAATATAATTAGCTGAACGAACGTCACCGATCAAAGTATTAAAGCGATCCAATATACGCTTGCGTTAAATTAGAACATTGATGGCATTAATTAGAATAAACATAAATTTCAGCCTACACCTATAGCGTTAACCTGACATTTTAAACCTAGTAATAATGAGAACCGCAAATGTAAACTACATCAAATTCAAATAAAAAAATTGGGAGTGAATTACGACGGGAAATGACGTGACCCGCGATCGTTCCAACTCTCAGAAAATTTGTTAGGTTCACTTAACCAAAATTTGTGAGGTAACTATACCTCACGAGGCCGAACCAAAAAGTTGATCTAAAATCATCCAACTTTGTTTGACGGAAAATTGTTCGTTTTGTAGGAACGATTTGCCGGGGTTGAAGGACTTTTTTTTAGACCAGATGTGATTTTCATAAAACATTCCACTAAGCTCGGCCAACGATTTTAGACTATGTTCGCTTTCGAACCCCAAAGTTATGTTAAATTAAACGGGGCACCACAGTGTCTAACTAATCATCGGTCGATATTGCCAAACTTTGGATAAAAACTTTAAGTCAAACATGATCCAGCATTATTCAACATTGCAACAACGTTTAAACGAGGTTAACAATTTTTAACAAGATGTTGGCTTCGTTTGAACGGGATTTAGCAAAATCTAAATTAAGTTTCCGCCTAAAAGACCCAGCAGAGGGTCGGCCTAATTATATGTTGGGAAAACCCACATTTTTTCGAACCGGTGCATGTACGTAAAACATTTTATTCTAGATCTAATGCTTTCAAACAATTAATATATTGATTCGTGCGTGTATTCATTATATGCAAAGTTAACAATACAATCAGCGCGGTTAGATCTCATCTCACGCAAGCTTTGATGTCTTAGGGTGCTCAGCAAATTACCGTGGCACATTATTACACAATGGCGTGGCTTTGTAAACGGTATTTGGTTGGAAGGGCCAATATTCAAGTGTTGAGATAAGTGGCACTTGTGTGCGCGCCTTCCAAGTGGACGAAAATTAGTTCCTCAATTGTAACAAATCATGCCATTGTGAAATTTCCGACAGTTTGCGGACCCCTACCGAGACTTCTCCGAGTTTAAAGACTGTGCTAAATATATTGGTATATCAATATAAACCAGTTGAAGACGGAAATTGTCAAGCATGTTTTGTAAAGAGCAGCACAATGTGATGACTTGAACTTGCCCTTGGCCTACATTATGCGAACATCTGCCCGATAAAGCTCTAGACCGTAAAAATTCTTGTTTTTAATAACATTCACAATACACTTGCAAAATATTTGATACGTCTTTTAATCAGCTCAATATCGAATCGGAGAGAAAGGAATATGTAAACGCTTTTCAATAAAGTTAGGTAAATTTTGGTCTACAAATTGTACTAAATAATGCCACTGTAGTCAATATCTGATCCGGCCAACAAGGAAATACTTGTGCCTTAAGTGATAAAAGTGAACACGGAAATATATCCTCGAAAACTAAGAAATTTATAAACAAAGAATTTTCTTTCAGAAAAAATGTGCATTTCGGTTATGGTTTATACTAACCTTATGTACCCACCTTTTCAACATGAATTTACAATTAAATTATTATTTGCACTTAGGTTTATGAACCTGCTAAAACACTGGAAGCAAGGAAAAGCATGTCTTAAGGCCTGCTATATTTCAGTGTCCTTTTTTCAACATCCGTAACTTGTCACTCAATACTAAATTTTATTTAACGAAGGTAAAAAGTCATACATACACTCCAGTTTAGCCTATGCCAATCTTTAACTGGGCCTTCAAAATCACATCCATCAAAAGAAGAAAACGGTACCTGAAGTCAGGGGGATGCTCACTGACACTGATCTGTATACAATTCAATCATATTCTAGCTACAAACCGTATATAATCGATAGATTAACTGTATAATAGTGTATAATGTATACCAGCCCTAAACCCTTACGAAAGGTAATAGGAACTTGAATTAATACCTAAAAATCGATTTCTTAATCCCTTAGGTCAGTGGACAACGTTTAGTTTACAAATTCGTAAATCTGCCGTTCGACAATCGCAAAAAATCAAAGCACATTAAAGAGGAATTGCCAAACGAGAAAAAGTCGTCGCCAGAACCCACTCATACCCAGGACGACATCGAAACACCACGACATCGGGAGAGAAGACCATCAGTGATCAAAATGTCCGGAAAGATTACGCCGCCAAGGGAGGTTTCCCCGGTTCCGGAAGTCAAGAAAGAAGAAATTCAACCAATCAAGGAAGAGCACATAGACGTGGAACGCCTGAGCCCGCCTACTACAAGTTATGGACCAATTGAGCGTATATCCACGGTTCCTTTATCTGTTCCTATAACCCACAACGCACTAACTCATAAACTTTATAACTACCATCAATACCCAACTATGGGATATTATGCTAGGGGTATACCTTTAGACCTCTATCGTTACCACCCATACACTGTCATGCAGTCTCCGTGTTGCGGTCGAGTGAACATCGCAAGCTTTCGACCGCGTTCGGTAATCATTCGACCAAGTGAACACTATCCAATTACAAACCGCTCTCCGCCACCTTTAATAAAAGCCGAGCCCGTGGACGTGACACAAGAAGCGTCATAGCGATTCCTAGAAAAAGTGAACTTTTTATATCGGTGGATTTCTAGGAAAATGGAAGTGGGTGGCTAGTAAATTTCAGAAAACCGGGTTGAATAACGTGTTGACCCTAGCTGATAGAGTTGAAGCCAGGAACTAAAGCAACTTGAATTGAGAGGTCGAATAAATAATTAATTTAATATTTATAGTAAGGAGTAATTATTTTAAAATAGACTCTTTCAAGTGGCTTTCGATCGTTCTAGTTTAGTTTCATTGTAGAAGATGAGGACGTGGCATTTTGCTGGTGATTTGTACAAACGCTGACTGTTCAAAACGACACACACAATGCTGACACAATGACGCGTGTGAAACTATTTGTACGAGTTAGTAAAATTAAATTAATGTGCGAAGTTTGAAATACTTTTTTTATTTGTGTTCGTTCAGAATACGTTCAGCTTGACCCAAGTTCAGCTTGACCCAAGTTCAGCTTGACCCATTAAATCAAGGATTTAATGATTTTAGAGAAAACAGGAAAAAATTTCAAGTGGAAATCTGCCCTTTTATTCTGTTATCTCCCCCTGATAGTTATCACCGCCCATATTCATACGCACTGAGTGTGTGAGCCAATCATTTACATCCTTTTTTATGGCTAAACACGATTGCTTTCCCGATACCCGATCGGAACATTTTGACCAATAAATGGGTACAGTGCTAATTTTGGATGACAAATTTAAAACCCAACGTTTGCCCTCAGTGGCCATGCCCCAAACCATTTTTTGAAGCACTGCATCATCGTTTACATGTTCAAAAAGGAAAACAAGAGGTGAGAGAGGAAAGAGGCTCTGTATGAACTTGTTTAAAATGGATTTCACCCACTATTATAGAGCAGTAGCGACGAAGTAAAAACTCGCATTGGGTCAGTGTAAAAGGCAAATATGAAAACAAAGGCAAAACTCAAGATCGTTACGATTGCCAACCGTTTAAAAAGCGAAATAGTTAAAACGCTTGCAAAACGCTTTGGTCGGCTGAAGCAGAAGTGAGTAAATTTTTGGTATATTCGTTGCGTTAGGTTGAACTGTGCAGTTTCAATCTTCAATCCCAAATCAGGGGCTGTTTACATGATCCTGCTCAGCCGACATTCAACGAAGCATCAGATGACTTTTGAGGTATTGAAATGAGGATATAATAAAACATAACTTGGCAATAGCAATGGTCATGACTTATAGTGATTCATGAAGACTTATTTTAATACCTCAATGCAAACAGCTTCTTCAGGTCCTTAGGAAAAAACGTGCACGGAAAAACCATATCGTGTATAAGATATGAGATACGACAATATATCTCATATCTTGTAATCTTGACTTCACAGATATTGTTTTCGGAATTAGTTACATTTGCCTGTTTCCAAGGATGCATTCGAGAACACAAATCTTTCAGACTTTGAAAGTTTTTCACTTTTTGAAGACTCCCTGGCTCTTCGTGGTTTTTCCCTCCGCGATTTTTCTTTGGCCTAAAAAGGGTGTCTGTGGTCTGGACTGGATGACAAACTGTTATAAGTCGCTAAATAGCTTTGTACTCAAACGTTTTTCGTTAGACATATCTGCAATCCTCGTTATGACAACAACCTGGATCAATCGACGTACGTACGTCACACATTCGAAAAAATGTGCTTTGGAGTAATTTGGCCCAAGCGCAGAGGCCCAAGCGCAATGTCCGGAAAGTTCGCGAAAGATGTACAGCTAATTGCCTAATTCTACTCTGGAATAGTATTCTTCAGGGGAAGGCACTGTGGAGGCATGCATTAGCGTCTTTAGGGGGTCGAGAACCAAGGTGCTCATCTCAGAGTCAACTGGGGGGGGGTGCACGATTAAATTAGACTTCGATAGCCCATTTTATCAACATGGACTATTAAACATGGACTACTAATAATAGAAGTATAATAAGTATAGAATAATATTTTATTGATTTTAACATTTTTAAGATCCTTCAGTATCGGTAAATATTGATAAAAAAATGGCCAATACTTTGAAGCAGCTTGTAGCTGGAGCTTTAGATGTCGACGTCTTTCGAAAGCATTTGAATGGTGAACAATTGCTGGTGAGTGTGATATGCATATGCTTTTATATCGTCCTATTTATGTATATTCTAAGCCAGCAAACATGTAATAATCGTTGCTCATTTTCGTCACAACTCGTCAACAACCTAGGGTAACATGGTGGCATCTCATGCCTCTCATAATCTCATCTTGATCCCATTCCAGTATGACTCAATCCATGGTTTACACCGGTAACCTGATCAACAGCAAATTTATAAACCAGTGGCAGCAATATGACTGACACAATTATCTGCTGGCTACACGCTCAAGTTGTTCCCGGTTGATGAGAACAGGCCTCAACAATGTTGTGCCGCACCCCATGAACAATGTTGTCAACAACATGTTGCAATATTGTTAAGCGTAACAAAGTGGAACAACATTGTTGACAATATTGTTCATGAGGTGCAGAACAACATTGTTGAGGCCTGTTCTCATCAACTGGGAACAACTTGAGTGTTTTTTGCTGTGTAGTGATCCCAGTCAAACATATTGTTGTATGACAGGTAAAACTTTTCAAAACAGATGGGTCGGTAACATCAAGATTCCAGCAGTTATAGGGTTGTTCAGATGATCCCAATAGCTATTTTCTAATACTAATACCAATCCTGACATTAATTTGCTAATATTAGGTGACTTCTTTCACCTTATCAGCTGTCAAAAACCCAAGATTAGGCCAACTAAAAGTAAAATTGTTTCAATGTGCAGACATCTTGGTGCATTACCAGCTACATGTAATATTAGCTAAATAACAAATTGATAACTTTTTTTTAGAATGATAACAATGGAGGTCCTGGGCAAGTGAATTTAAAAATGTCTGAGTTTGTTGCATATTTTTTGAACTATATTCGTGAAGAATCTTCATGCCACTTCACATGTGACCTTCCTGTCATATCGCCCAAGAAAATAAAGAAGAAGAAATTCAGGCCACCCAAATATCATTCTCCACCATCTGTCAACAGTAATAACTCAACAAAAAGCAGTGCAAGGGGGAGTTTATTCTCTACTCCTCCATCAGGAAAAGTGAACAATATTACACTAAGTCCAGTTGAAGGAAGGCAGACAAAGTGCATTAAGGGAACACCAAAAAAGTCATCTCCTTTAACCAATTGGAACTCAAGTGGGAATGAAAAAAGTAAAGTATTACATGTGACATCAACACCAGTGAAATTTAATTTGGATGAAGATTTCCCATCCATCAACTCACAGAATTTATCTGGAAGGTAAGAAAATATTCTTTGCTGAGCTTAGTCTATGTTATATATCCAAACTTTTACTGCAAAATTTGCATTTGATAAAGTTCAACTTGATGCAACTTGACACACATCTGACTGGCGTAAGTTTGGTGGTACCACACTTATAACAACTTTTTTTAGTTTTAAATAAACATGAAGGAGTCTTGACTGCATTCACATAAGAACTTCTCTATTTTCTAGGAAAAGTTCAACACCATCCCAACGGATCACACCAACTCGGCGTATTACACCAACACCAGCTAATGCCAGAAGAGATTCATCAAATCTTACCAACAGTTTCACATTTGAAACTTCCTTTGGATCCGAGCACTCATCTTCTACAGAGAAATTCAAACATGGATATAAACATAATAGTGGTTCAGCTAGTCCTAAAAATACCCGCAAAACCAAGGTGAAGTTAAAGCTAGAAGACTTCATGCAGCAAGGATGCGGAAATAGAACATCAGCTTGCCAAAATGATGAAATCAATCATAATCTTTCCTGTTCTCAATACAACAGTAAAGATGAATGGGGTGATTCTCAAGATATGGAGAGAAATTCAAGCTATACTGACACCTCAATAGATTTAAATTCAAGTACAGATTCTGTATTGGCAAAAAGAGAATTTGTTACAGGATACGATGTTCTTGAACGTTTAGCTGATGTTCATTCATTTTGTATTCTAGGTCAGAACACAATGTTTGTAATTTTTTGTTGCCAGCGCTTTGCTGTATTTGGCCTCATTCTAAGACAAAATATTCCAGTTTTTAGACCCAAAACCTAATAACCTCATAATCTAATAGCATGCAGGTAGTTGTAAAGCCTGGCTCTCTGTTCAACTTAAAAATGGTTAAAACACATGAAACTAAACTAACTTGTGTCTCCTAGATCTAAGTGTCCTTTGCAGCACAAGTTTACAATGTAATATTTGTGTTTTCTAGAGAATCTGGTGCCAAACATTGTAGTTGAGATGTGTTTCATACTTCAACTTTTAACAGTGAAAGGAGAAAATGTTCAAGAAAATGGTATTCCACTGTTTTGAGAATTACTTTCTGCCATTTTATCATTCAAAATCTTCTTTCTTAAATCTTTACAGACCACGTTACGTCGGGGTATCTTAAGAGCGTCCATAACTGTGTTTTTTACGCCGTTCGTGTGCTTGAAAACTTGCTAGGGTACACAAAATTATAAATTCTACTAGGAGTTCTTTATAGTTATAGCGAATATAAATTTATAGTGAATATATTCTTTCAAATTATTCTTTATTTTCATTTTAGAATTATCAAACTTCTCGACAAAGGAACTTTACGATTGCTCTTGGACAACACGAGGGTATGAAAGACCTCGGAAATTTCATTCCTAGATCAAGAAGATTCTCTCAATCAACGAATGATATTTTTATGTTCTTGTTTTTAGATTACGGAATTTTCAAGAAATTTTAACGAAGAGTTAAAGATACTCTATCCAACAGTATTGATGAGTAATGTAATAAAACCATTAACCGATTTTATGTGAAAGGAATCCGAAATTCATATATTTCAATTGACTCTGTGTATGTTTCCCCAGGTACCTTATTCATTGTTGAAATCACCGTTGAACAGCGTTCCATTTCAAGCAAGCATCGACAATCGTAACAATTTCTCGTCGGATTTAGCCTTCCACTGTTTCAAAAGACAAAGGTAACAGATTCAAACGAGATTTGATTGGTTGTAACAGTTTAGATGCCTTTATGATCATGTTTTTTCTCCAACAACAACAGGGACACGTTTTATGAAATAGTCCGGGAATGGGAAGAGCATTGTGGTAAACCAGGCTGGTCTTTGGAAGAAAAATTAGGAGATAAAATACGGTAAAATTCTGTTTAAATAGAATAAAGTTCACAATCAGCTTACGTTGGTAATTTCTTTACCAAATCCTTTGCTTGAGAAACATCGAAATTAGTGTGTCTTGCTATTTTATTTCATTTATACTGTAGCTATGTTGTTAATCAGAAGCCTGGATCATCAAACTATGTTCATTTTGCAAGACTATTCCAAACACAGTTAATACAGATGTGTTGCTACGAGAACACTCTGCCGAACTTTAGCGAGGGAGCATCGCCAGAATTCGTTGGAAATCTTTTCAAATCAAATCCGGAGAAATTTTTCAGGTGAACACAAAGAGCAGATATAGCCATCCATGGACCTTCAAGAATGCATCTTAAACCTTTTTTGCCTTTCAGACTTCAGCAACGACTAGTTGCTCCCCAGTCAACAACAGCGGGGCCATGCCCTTCTCCTGGTTTTACGGAAACTGAAGAATTTTTTCGTGAATTCATTGTTGCTGCGATGAGGTACTTTGGCTGCATGCTTCTAATCTGTAGATCACGCCATTATGTCGTGTATGAGATTATCTCATGCATTGGCTATTGTTGTTATGTCCACATCCTATATATTTTTCCATATAGCCCTTCGTTCAACAGATATTTAATCGACAGTCTTATCGTCAAGATTAACGAGGTTGGTTCTATTTACTGGCTAAATGTTGGTACTACCGTACCAGAATCATGGTGTACCGTTGCCCCTATCCCTCGTCTTAGTAAAATTCGATTCAATTTAGTTAAACAACGTGGGGTTAGATGAAGAACTTGAGGATTCAATTGAAGATGATATGGTAAAAGATGACGAAAGCTGCAAACTTCAAGTGAAGTTCGCATCATGTTTGATCACGCTAAGAACTCTGGGAAAATTTCTGGGTTTTCTCGTGTTTTCTCCTTATCACAACAGTTCAGGTTTACCAACAGCGGTGATGGAAACGGTAATAAAAGCCAGAAATCAGGTTAGGGTCTGTGTTATATGAAATATTTCATGTGAACTGATGTTAACTGTTAACCTGTTAACTTATCGTTTGTAAAAACCAGATTTCACAGCAGATAGACCTAATGTGTTACTTGAAAAAAGCGCGTGATGAACAGAGACTGGTGATGACATTACCCTGGGTGATTGAATATCTGAGTATGATGGATAGTGTTTCTCCGTTTCTGGATTACTACAGCAAAGTTTTTGATTTCCTACATCATATTTACAGGTATTTTGCCGCTACTTTCTAAGCCCTATCTTAGGATACAGTTCTACCATTCATGCAAAATTTGCGAAGATGCAATTTTTACTCATATTTTTGGCACCTAGTGTATATCATCTCAACCTTCTTCCCTCGTCTTCTCTGCACTATCCACCACCTCACATCTTCTTTAGATCTTTCCATTTCATGATATCTCTGACCAGCTCTGTTTCGTCTCTTCCCTTTACGTGTCGATATAATTTCAGCTATTTCTCTCTCTTGCTTAGACACTGCAATGTCCACCACCGTTTATTCCCCGAGCTCATACCATACCGTAATTTTCTTTACAGAAATATGTTGTCTCAAAATTCCTCTCCCAATATGAATCGCAATAGCTTAATGTTGAGCGTGGCTTTAGGTTGGTTGTTTGAGGTAGCTACAGCTGTACTGCGTATATTTAATTTCCTAAATTTATTATTTTCATCCTCATTAACAGTTCACGTAATTTGTTTTACTAATTCCCCATGGACATAATGATTTCAGCCAGAATATTATGATTTTTAGATTCCTGTTATTCCAGAAACGATGTTCACGAATTTTTCCGAGAGGATGTCCTGTGATTCTGAATTGAGAAATTCGACCTCGGCATTGGTAAATTCTGATCTATAAAAACTTCTTCTCATTATAGAACTAAAATCTATCATAATTTCCATCTAGGATAAGATGAACTTGGTTGACCAACATCTTTTATATACATGCTGTCCCTACCTTGGTATGTTGTGAACTATCAATCTAAGCCTGCTTTTTTCGTACAAAATATGTCTTTCTCGTATCGGCCTGCAGTATGTTATATTATGGAATTGTTTAATATATTAATTTATTTGACAGGTGAACTTCGTTCAATTCTGGCTCAAGCAGTCGTCGGAAAGGCAAAACGAGGTACATGTTTTCGAAACGCACGCACGTTCGTTAAATACAAAATATAAATGCTTTCGGGCAATTCATTGATCCGAGAAACTTTTCATTTGACTGTTGAGTAATAATGGACGAATATTTTCTTAGGCTATATGAAGAAGATCAAACCAGTTTGCGCCGATGATGTGGAAGCTTTGCCATCGTCACGTCCCGTGTTACAGGTACTCTCGCGTTTCAGGAGTTTTTCCTGCATGCTTTCTTCTGTAAAAGGGCGTAACTTTTTCAAAGAGGTGAAGAAACATTTTAAAACGCGTCTTTTATAATTCGCGTAGACAAAACTTGAAGATAACTTCTTTCGAAATCAACCTGAATTTCTGAGAAAAGATGCTGACTTCGTTGCAAAAAGGTAATTATGAAACTATACATACTATGTAAGACTCTTCATGCTGTACCACAAGTCTCCTTTCCAAATCATAGTGACCACTGAATCTATTTTTCTATGCTTTCACATGCAGACTGTATCAAAATATAGTGAATATAATCAAGAACGATGTAATCCCTTCTGAAATCGAACGGGCAAAACAAAAGTTAGTTACTGAGACAACATTTAATGTGAAGTAAGCTCTTTGTTTATATGTTTTTAATTTCATTTGTCCACTTTATCTTAATTGAGAATACCAAACGTAACTTTATCGTTTCAAATCGTCCAGTCTGAAACACAGACCCCTCTGAAGTGCAATTAACATGAAAAATACCCTCGTTGATCGCGCTTAAGCCTGTAGGGTACAGACAGAAAGACATTTCTTGTATCAAGAAACAAATATTTGTATTGACGTTGCCCCAGTGCCAAACTTCAAGAATATAATCTTGTCTATATAGTCCATGCTTAAACCATGTAAATTTTTTCATTTCTATAGTAATTGGCAGGAGGTGAATAAGGACGAATTTAAGGTATATCTGGGTATCATCCTCATACAATTGACTATATGAATATAAACTAGAGGGAGAAACGGCATTCCCGGAAGATGTGTCAGTGTGTCTCATATTACTCTTCTTACTATTAACCTAAGGAAAAACAGAAAATATTGGTGATGAAATTATGCAACAAAACAGCTGATGGAGTTTTGGAGAAAATATCATCTGAAGTGAACGAGTATGCTCTCATAGTCTCACAGTCAGTAGTTTAATCATTTCAATTTAACAAATTTCTCTTGATGGTCTTAGGGAGTGTAAATCGCGATGTTTTGTTGCTGTTCAAAGCCTAAGCCCCCACAATATGAATGAAATAGTAAGTTATTAATAATATCGTATTGTAGAGGCCTGGGGCCGGTTGTATCAAGCCCGTTTAGCTTAAACGGTGCATGGATAAGCTCAAAATAGAAAGCAAGTCTATCTTTTTACTCAGCAAGCAAACTAAATGTTTTTAACCTTAATACAACGATACTGTTTACAGCTACATATTCAGTGCATAATATTCAAGTTGCCTTATTCAAGTTGACTTATTCAAGAGAGACGTAAGAGTGTTATTTAATTTTGACTTATACACCGTTTAAGCTAAACGGGCTTGATACAACCGGCCCCTGATTTTTGTCTACTAACTCTACTTACAATATTTTTTAGTGGTTGGGCGCATGCGTTAACTATATGTATTTTTTATTCATCAAAGGTTATAAAGACCACATCAGGAATCGTTCATCAATCGACCATGAACAAACTGAAGGAATGGTCACATCAAAATATCTCATGTAAGTTGAAACATTAAAAAAAATTTGTAGTACATGTCTGGTTTCAGGAGTTAAAAAAAGAGGGCAAAAAACTTGCGGTCGATTTGTCCTCGACATCTTGTTATGCATGCATGCATACGTTATTCATATTTTTCTTCCATTTTTAGCAATTATCGAAAAACTTGTTCGCCGAGATATGGATAAAACGATAACAAGAAAGCAAAGTATCCCTGAAAATATTTACAGGGCACACGCACAAGATTGTGATCATCCTTTTAACTGGTTTTATCAACAACTGCTTGACAAGGAATGTGAAGTGTAGTATAAGGAAGCGGCTTCTGCGTGAGACCAGCAATGCAGGCGGTGCGTGAAGTATGACGTCACTAATTCTTAATTATTATAATTTATTACCAACTTTTTAGTTATTTATTTTTCCACGTGGAGAAGGAGGTTGCGCCCGCGATAACCTGGCATGTTTTAAAATGCGGACTATACTGGACTGGACCGGAAAAGCGCGAACTTGTAAATCACGGACTTTTAAATGACGGACTCAGTCCGTTATATAAAACGCGGACTTGTAAAGTGCGGACTTGTAAATAACGGACTAATAATAATATTTTCCTCAGATCTCTCCACTAATTTTCCCTTTCGAAGGAAAATTCCCAAAATTTACAAGTCCGCGTTTTATATCACGAACTCCGTGGTTCCGTGGTTCCGTGGTTTACAAGTCCGTGATTTACAAATCCAGTCTAGTCCGTATTTTACAACATGCCCGATAACCTATATATTTAAAAATTTCAATACATTTTTTATAAATGACCACTATATATAACGTTAAATTAGTGGATTTTCCAGTGGTGAAACATGTAGCCGAGTGGTCAAGTCGCTCGTGCGTGTTGTCCCGCTTCCAATACGAGCTGGTGCTATTTTGTTTTCTGAATTTTTTCTTTTTTGCAAACTCCGAAACAGAACTACTGACAACACCTTCAGGTTAGTTTCTTCGGTTATTCGAGGGTCTTGTTTATTAGTTCGATGTTCTTTTTTATTTTTTTCTCTATCTTCTTTTTCAAAAAAAAAACACTGTTATTAAACATGTATCAAAACCGACTTATTTTTTGAGAAAAAATGTTCGGCTAATAACCACAGACAGCCCGGTCAATGGTTATACTATCTTATGTGTGACGTAACCGCATTGACCGGGGCTGTCCACTGTGACTGCCTATATATGTTATATCACAGTGTTATATTAAACCACCTTAAAAATATTTTCAGCTTATAACCACCACCGTAGACGTGCATTTGCCAGAATGAAATAAGTTTCACACCATGTAAAAGCCTAGAAATAGAGATATAACATTAAGGTTGATAAAATCGATTCGATAGCCTGAATCGAAGAATTCATCGAAGAATGTAATTCTACTTAGTTTCGAACCATTTCGAGGTATTTGGAACTAATTTTCGAAAGCTCAAAAAATTGTATGATTTCATGTATTCAAATGTATCCAGCTTATCCGAGATCATGACGTCATAAAGCGTCTCGACAAAACTAAATTATCATGTGCCTGGTGTTATTTCTCTTTATTCTTCCAACTAATAGTATAAAGGGTGAAAAATTTAAATTCTAATATGCAGTTGGGAAAAAATAAACGTGTTTTCACATAAATATAATAAAATTACTTGATATTTTCGAGTGTCGAAGTCATATGCAATGAAGGAAATGATAATTTAGTTTTGTCGAAGATCTGGCTTCTGATTGATTGATTTTTATACCCAGATCAGCTGGATTGTTTTCATCAAAGAATGTAATTCTACTTAGTTTTGTACCATTTCGAGGTATTTGGAACTAATTTTCGAAAGTTCAAAAAGTGACGAAAACCGATTTTTCTGAAATCTTGAAATTCATTAAAGTATGATTTTACGTGTTCAAAGATATGATTCGGACTAAAAGATGTAATTCTACTTACTTTTGAACCTTTTGAAGGTATTTGGGACTAAATTTCGAAAGTTCAAAAAATTGACAAAAATCATGATTTTTCCCTTGGTCGCACGTTACCGATTTTTCTGAAATTTTAAAATTCATCAGTTTTTACCGTGTGCAAGTTTCAAATCTTCTGTGCAAGTTATATTTTATTGAGCACACTTAGGGCATTACATTTTTAGGATGAAAGGTGCGAAATGTCTTGATAACTGGCCATGGATTTTCAAAGATTTTCGGAACTATGGTTACGCTACAATGTTCAATGAAGACGAGGTTGACCTCGGTGCATTTATTTATCGTCTTATGGGGTTTTGTGATCCACCAATTGATCATTATCTCTTGCCATATTGATATACCAGCTATTCACAATGCTAGTCTAGAAATGGTACGAAGTATGTTTCAAGCTTATCCCAAAACACCCAAATGAGATGACATTCTTTTCCGATATTTGTCATAGTCGGCTGAATGACTTGTCTTTAATGGAGAATGGACTTACTCGGGTTTTTTAAATTGATGAAAGAACGACATTACCTTGATAACACAATCTTGGTGACCTTTGGGGATCATGGTATTCGCTTTGGTTCAGTACGAACAACTGTTATTGGGAAAATGGAGGAACGCCTACCTTTTCTTTCTATTACGGTTCCTGATTGGTTTGAGAAAGATTATCCAGAATTTGTAAGAATATTCGTGGAAATCTAGATGTATTAACATCACCACTAGATGTCCTGTATTTATACTTAATACGCTGAAAATGCCTTCAAATATTTATTCATCTTCGCCAATTAATGAATATACTGACATGTACATAAATACATATACTAGATATAGTTATGGAAACACACGCATACATCTAAACAGAATTGGCTAGGTGCACGCTACAGCTTTAGCCAATTACAGCGGCCCTATGTATAATGATAAACACACAAACTAAAAACCAAATTAAACGGATGCAATACATCAAACAAAATGATGACATAAATACTACTACTTTTGACCAGTTCATTACATGATGTTTACTCAATCTAGTTAACAAAAGTTGAGATAAATTCCTTTTTTGAGCGTTGTTACAGAATGGCACCCGCTTAAACAGGCCTTAATAACAACACGATAATTCACATGACAGTTTACGACACTTATTACAGCACAAACATATATATAGATTTCCATGTTCTTGGGTCTTCAACGTCATATACAGTTGCCACAGCTACTTCATAATATTGGAAAAGTCCACTTTTGAATCGACTTAGGCTGATTTCATTGCCTGTTAAATCGCTTGGTAGGACATTCCATAAACGAGTTGATCTATTTAAGTAAGACTTCTGGAATGTGGTGGTTTTGCATCGTGTTGTTCTAAATGAGAAGTTTAGTTGTTAGGATTTGTTGATCTCGTTTCTCTTTTGTTGTGGATGGGTGGTAATGGCAACAACCGATTCAAATATTTACTATAACTAATCTCTTTGCTTTTTTAGCATATTTAGTATGTTTTTGGAACTTTGAAAAAATCGTCAATTTTGGCCAAAATGGTAAAGGTACGCCTTATAATTGTGGCCAAAATTGACGACTTTTAAAAATTTTCTGAAAATGTGTTAACATTGCTTAAAATAGCTTCAAATATTTACCAAGACTAATCTCTTTGCTCACTTCGCTTTTTCAGCATATTTGGTATGTTTTTGGAACATTGAAAAAATCGTCAATTTTGGTCAAAATTGTAAATTAACCTTACCATTTTGGCCAAAATTGACGACTTCTGAAAATTTTTTAAAAATGTGTTAACATGCTTAAAATAGCTTCAAATATTTACTAGGACTAATCTCTTTGCTCTTTTAGCATATTTGGTATGCTTTTGGAAAATTGAAAAAATCGTCAATTTTGACAAAAACGGTAAAGGGCACACCTTACAATTGTGGCCAAAATTGATAACTTTTGAACATTTTCTGAAAAATGTATTAACATTGCTTAAAATAGCTTCAAATATTTATCAAGACTAATCTCTTTGCTCACTTCGCTTTTTCAGCATATTTGGTATGTTTTTGGAACATTGAAAAAATCGTCAATTTCGGCCAAAATGGTAAAGTTAATTTATAATTTTGACCAAAATTGACGACTTTTAAAAATTTTCTGAAAATCTGTTGATGCCAACTTTTATTAAATTTCTTTTGAGAAGACACGTGTTTTTAATAGTTCCTCCTCGGATTGAGAGACCAACGTCTAGCCAGACACAGTAGCCCAAGACAAAATACTTTCGCGTCAAAAAAAAATCAAAAAAATTTTTTCACTCTCGAGAAAATCACCCCGTGAAAAAAAAATTTAGGGTAAGTAAACATGAGCCTAACCACTCGGATTAGGGAATAATATATATATTGTTAGGTTGGTAAAAACGTACGATCTGGTGGCCGAGTGGTTAAGGCTACGGCCTACCAGGTTGTAAGCGTAGGTTCGAATCCTGCATGGGATAGGTTCAATTTTTCTACCTGAAATTGCTACTTAATTTAAAATTCGTCGAAAAGGATTTAGTCAAATAAAGATAACAGCTTTCGACCAATGATGTGGTGGTCTAGTGGTTAAGGCGTTCGTCTCTCAATCCGAGGCCGACGTTTCAACTCCTGGCAATGCAAAAAAATTAGCCTGAAGAATTTCGGTGTGATTTGGAAACTTAAAAGCAGTTAAAAGACTCCTCGGACTTTCGGAAAGACTGTTTATTAAAGAAATTAATTATTTTTTCATTTTTTTGAAATTCTCTGATTTTTTTTTTGACGCGGAAGTATTGTGTCTCGGGCAACTGCGTCAAGCCAGACACAGTAGCCCAAGACATACACAGTAGCCCAAGACATACATAATTAATTTTTTTCACTTTTTTGAAATTCTCTCTGATTTTTATTTTTGAAGCGGAAATATTTTGTCTTGGGCCACTGTGTCTGTCTTGGGTGACTGTGTCCTGGCTTGAAATAAAAAAACTGAAAAAAAATTCTTGCGTTCAAAAGTACTTGAAAATTGAAAAAAAGCGGAAGTCAATAAATTTTAAAAACATGTGTCTTCTAAAAAGACTGAAAACTAAAAGTGGGAAAAAAAATTTCTTAAAATTTCTCGTCTTAAAAAACTCATGTTTACTTACCTTAATTTTTCTCACGAAAATTTGATAAGGTGATTTTATCGAGAGTGAAAAAAATTAAAAAATAATTTTTTTCACTTTTTTGAAATTCTCTCTGATTTTTTTCGGAGGTATTTTGTCTTGGGCTAGTGCGTCAACCCAGACACAGTAGCCCAAGACAAAATACTTCCGCGTCAAAAAAAACAGAGAGAATTTCATTAATTTTTTTCACTCTCGAGAAAAGCACCCTGTCAAATTTTCGTGAAAAAAATTAAGGTAAGTAAACATGAGTTTTTTAAAAGCGGAAAATTTTTAAAATTTTTCCGACTTTTAGTTTTCAGTCTCTTTAGAAGACACATGTTTTTAAAAATGTATTGACTTGCGCTTTTTTTTCAATTTTCAAGTACTTTTGAACCCGAGAATTTTTTTTCAGTTTTTTTTTTCAAACTTTTTTCAATTTACAGTCTTTTAACTGCTTTAAGGTTTCCAAATCACACCGAAATTTTTCAGGCTAAATTTTTTGCATTGCCAGGAGTTGAAACGTCGGCCTCGGATTGAGAGACGAACGACTTAACCACTAGACCACCACATCATTTGTCGAAAGTTATTTTTCTTTATTTGACTAAATCCTTTTCGACAAATTTTTAATTAAGTGGTAATATCGGCTGGAAAAATCGCACTTTTCCCTTGCAAGACTCGACCTACGCTTACAACCTGGTAGGCCGTAGCCTTAACCACTCGGCCACCGGATCGTATGTTGTTACCAACCTTACAATATATATATTATTCCGGTGGCCGAGTGGTTAAGGCTCATGTTTACTTACCTTAATTTTTTTTTCACGAAAATTTGACAGGGTGATTTTCTCGAGATTGAAAAATTTAATTTTAAAAATTTAATTGTAAAAGTAAACATGAGTTTTTTAAATTCGAACCTACGCTTGTTCCAAAAAGCAACCCATGCATATATGCTCAAAAACCAAAGAGGTCAGTCTTGAAGCCATTTTTAGCATATTAAGACATTTTTGTGAAAGTTTTCGGCAATTTCGGCTAAAATGGTAAAAGGTACCCTTACATTACCTTATCTAACCTTAACCCTATTTATACGCACATGTGCGCACCCTATAAATATTTGTTCGTCATTCCTAAACAAATTATTCCATTCGCTTGCCCTTTTATGACTTTTTAATATTTTTCCTCTACCATCACAACTGTGAAAGTTCAAAGTTATCCAGGCGTTTGACGACATTTGTCAAACAAGGTGTCGAACCGAAATGGGGAAAATGGGGGTTGATGATTTATGAAAAAGAAATATAGTAGTATTTATGGACATCAGAGGTATGCCATAACATTAAACTATGTCGTTTGAATCTAAAAAACAAAAAATAACACATCCAAAATGTTTTTGTGTCTTCATAGAAAAGAACCAAAATCATAGAATATTTAGGGATTTTTGCCATTTTTCGATAGGTGGTCGTATCGAATGGGGCCAAAACGCAGCATTTTGGATGTGAATTCAACTTTTTTTGTTATTTTTAGGTTAAAGAGAGATAAAACTTCCTAAAAATATAACTAAAAGGATAATTTCAGGTAATCGACAGAATTTCTGAGGGGTGTGCCATATCAACATCAAAAAACCCCGATACAAATAGGGTTAACTTATGGTAAAAGATACCCTTACCATTTTGGCCAAAATGAACGAATTTTTCAATTTTCCAAAAACCAACCAAATATCAAAATATGCTCAAAAACGAAAGAAATTTGTAGCCATTTCGCAGAACTTTTGTGGAAATATTTGAAGCCAGGATCATCCTAACGGTTCCGAGACTCTACAATACGAAGACCCCTAACATTAACTTCCTTTATGATTTAATTAATGAATGCATTAAACATCTTAAACTAGTGTTTATGTCAAAATTTTAATTTTATCAAACTTTAAAAAAAAAAGTATATTTAAAAAATCACCAATATAGATGTCAAAATCTTTCAAACATTTTAAGAATTTTGAAAATTTTAAAAATTCTAAAAAGCACCAATACAGCTATATGTCAAATATTTTGAACATAGCTAGGTATGTGTCAAAATCGTCAAAAATTTTGGAATAACAAAACACTGGTATATATGTAGAAATTGTAGAAACACTGGTTTGTATGTAGAAATTGTGTCAGAATCTTTAAAATTTTAAACAGGTTGATTTTCTCGAAACTGAAAGAGTTGTAAATTTTTTGAAATTCTCTTAAATTTTTTTGGCGTTGACAAATGGAATCTATTTGTTTTGGTCTACTGTGTCGCGGCAAATAAAAATAGTATACACGTCAAAAATAATATACATGTCAAAAATTTAAAAAAAATTAAAAGTATTAAAAATTTAAAACACCTTGGGATCTGTCAAAATTGTTAGAAAACACTAGTACATATTGTCAAAAATCCCAAAGTTTTAAAATTACTTTGGTATTTGTCAAAATTTTCCCAAATTTTAAACATTTAATATATGTCAAAAATACAGAACACAGAGCTCGTCATGACAAGGTATCTTTTAGATATGAAGCTAATGAAGGGAAGCAATAAATCACAATTTTTCCTTTCGTCCCCCGTTACCGATATTTCTGAAATTTTGAAATTCTTCAAAGTATGTATTTATGTGTTCAAATGTATTGTTTTCATCGAAGAATGTAATTCTACTTAGTTTTCAACCATTTCGAGGCATTTAGAACCGAATTTTTAAATTTCAAAAAATTGACAAAAATCACGATTTTTCCCTTGGTCCCCCCGTTACGATTTTTCTGAAAGTTTTGAAATTCATCAAAGTATGTATTTATGTGTTCAAATGTACTGTTTTCATCAAAGAACGCAATTCTGCTTAGTTTTCAACCATTTCGAGGCATTTGGAACCGAATTTTTAAATTTCAAAAAATTGACGAAAATCACAATTTTTCCTTTGGTCCCGCGTTACCGATTTTTTTGAAATTTTGAAAATCATCAAAGTATGTATTTATGTGTTCAAATGTACTGTTTTTATCAAAGAATGTAATTCGACTTAGTTTTCAACCTTTTCGAGGCATTTGGAACCGATTTTTAAATTTCAAAAAATTGATGAAAATCATAATTTTTCCTTTGGTCCCCCGTTACTGATTTATCTGAAATTTTGAAATTCATCAAAGTATGTATTTATGTGTTCAAATGTACTGTTTTCATCAAAGAACGCAATTCTGCTTAGTTTTCAACCATTTCGAGGCATTTGGAACCGAATTTTTAAATTTCAAAAAATTGACGAAAATCACAATTTTTCCTTTGGTCCCGCGTTACCGATTTTTTTGAAATTTTGAAAATAATTAAACTACAATTTTAATTGCAGGGGGATCGAAGGTGAACGTCCCCCTTTTTCTCATACAAAAAATCATTAAATAAATTTTTCTTGGTCCACCACTTTTAAACAGACTCTGTAGTCCCTAAGAATTGTACTAATACAGTAATAATAACAAAACAATCAGGGTACAAATTATGTTTGCAGATATTTTTAGCAGTTATCTTTCTGAAATAAACTTAAATAATCTTAATATTTAATCTTAATATTTATAATTGCGGACATTTGATAAAATATGCCAGTTCACCGTTCACGACAAAATAAAACCTTTTCTAATTAACAATTAGTAGTTTATGTTCCAACTTCAACATACATGCAATATATACTATTATCACCATAGCAGAAACATGTTTTAGCCTGTAAACAAAAGTCGATTAAAATTTATCTCGCTTTAACTCAAATTTCATTGTATGCCGTTTTACAACCGTAAATTTAATTCCAAGACAGTTCCAATTTCGCCTGAAAATTTAACCACAATTTGTCAAAAACTGTCAGGTGTAACACCACTCCATTGAACTAGATATTCGATCCGGCCGTTTCTTGCAAATCTTCGACCAAGTAGCTTACAATTCTCGCCACAAGCCAGCCGACCATTGGTTCCCGCGTACGACGTTACACCATTGGATAGACGCTCAACGTAATTTACAAAACGTTTTTCTATTGGTTCATTCAGAGATGATGAATCCGCTGAGTCACGTGATCGCGGCCGTTTATCACCAGGCATTTGACAAAGGTCGGAGTAACGCTCACAGACCGATAAGGCATCCGGGCTTTCGCTCGCCCGAGAACTGCACTCCGGCATTAAGTATTTAAACATGGAGAGAGATGGAAAGAGAGGAACTTGTTCACTAGTCGAGGACTCTGATGTGCCAATCTCACTTCCATGATTCATCTTTAAATGGTTTAGAAATGAAAATTTTGAAACCGAACTGTTCGTGAATTAGGTCGCTAAATCTCGCAAATTTTAAAGTGAATGTTTTGACGGAAGTACAGTTATATGCCCAAAGAGGCGGATTGTCCTTGTTAGTGCAGTCCTGAGGACTGTTAGTGATAGTGGTGTTAACATAACTGGTGTTTTTGTGTTTCGATCCCCTAGGCCTAGCGTACCCAATGGCGTCAGGAGATAACTCTCGTGTGCAGGTACCTTTATAGAAGCTTTAGTCATTCGTGCCTCGTAAAGTAAATATTAAACATGTTTGATCAGTAATTGATCAATAACAGTCTCGCGTGCCAAAAATCTTTGTGCGGCGAATGAAAGCTGACGATCTGCTTAGTGGATTGTCCTCAGTCACAGTGCACAGGCAAATGCAACAGCAGATGTAGCTTTCGGTGTTCGCACATGGCAAGATTTTGGCTGGCGAGAATTATCAAACAGGTATTTTCCGTATGTGGCACGAATGGCAAAAATCGCCATTTAGCACGAGTGACATTTCGTTATTTTGAGCCCTGCTGACATAGCTTTAGTACACTGTGCTAGTATGTGTGCCATGTTGAAACGTCAGTAAACACCACAAACAACAGTCAACATCTACAATCATATCGAAAAATAGCGATAAATCGAAGAAATGCTTTGCTGCGTTGGTTGTGGAAATTTAAAAACACATGGAGTAGTTAAAAATGATCGATATATTCGCCTGTTGTAACTGCATGAACTTTTTTCTGTGCGGGTAGACACGATCACGAAGCTACGATCGATGGCAGTTGTTTTTTTACGAAAAATAATGCTTTAGAAAATATTATCAAATGATAAAGTACCTCATTCGACGTTGATGAATTGTCTTCAATATCGTCGTCGTCTTGTAAATAATTTCCGTTACTAGAAATAACAAAAATGGCGAATGACGTGAATGAATTGGTTCATCACCCGCTTAAAAAATATGCAAAACGTTATAACGTCTTAACCCAGGGGCTTTCGCCTGGAAAGTTAGTTTAGAAATATTATAAAAGCACATGCATTGGAAAAATCTGGGAGAAAAACGAGTCACGTTAGGCGTTATAGGTGCAAAAATGTAGCAATGTTTTTTTAACACGTACCAATCAGGGACCTCCGAAGTCGTTCCACCACTCTCGTCCTCCCTCAACTTTGCTTCATGAAGTAAACTCGCTTTCGTTGGGAAGGGAGCACAACGAATAAATAATGACCAAGTCACAATACCACTGCCACCGCTTTGACAACGAAATCTACACAACACATATTGCATGAGAAACATCACATAACCCTGTATGGACCAACACAATAGATCGCCACAAACGCACGATAAAACAATGGAATTTTTATGCTGAAAATATCAGAGGTAATTAATTGCAATTGCATAGCAATAGACTGCAGCAAACTTTCTCTACCAAATAAGAAATCCACAATGTCTCACTTGCGTTTCTGTTTTTTCATAACTTCAACGAGTTTTTCCATTCGTTCTCTTTCTGGGGTGTAATACAACTAGATTGAAATAATTTCCAAAATTATGCCGATTTTATGGTTATGATCTGGTTATAATAAGATTGGTATGAACCTGAGAAAGTGGATAACTGATGCAGACCTTTCTAATAGTTAGTACAGATCAGATCGTGAAAAATAGTTTAGCTACGCCTCAAGAGCGATGAAATTTCAGGCACTTAGGAGGATAATGATTAAGTTAAAATGAAGATTAATTGTAAAGAAATATCGAGTAGACGTTTTATACTTTCTTCATTTCTTGATGGAAAAAATAACATATCTCTCTGCATCGCTTACCATATATGATCGAACGACCCTGGGAAGCAGGACCGTCATTGGAAGCTTCATTTGGGGGGGGGTTTGCATATTCATATTAATGTTCAAATAAGGGTGAAAACAATAGCCATGGAAAGAAATCAGTCGGAGTCGTCGGACATAAGACGAATATATGAATATGTACATACCCCAGATCTAGCTTCTAGCGACGGCACTGCTAGGGAGGAACATAGATATAAATCTTTCATAAAGGCTAATAAAGTATTTATACTTACATTGCCACATTGCAATGCATCCCAGTTGTCACGTAAAAAGCATTCAACGTCGTTGTTTTTGAAGCCTCTTTTGTGGTACTTCAAGGAAAGATTATATAATACCAATGCAGCAATATCAGTCCTGGAAAAAGAAACATACTATGAATAACTATTGCTTTCTAGGAAGCGACCATTTCATATAGTCACTTGCGTTTTGCCTCAGGAAGGGAAAGAGGATTTTATTTTGGTTGACAAGTACACAATCATACTAAATTGCTAACATATAGATTCATCTTGTATCAGTGAAACTGCACTGATATCAGGGTTCCCACTCAACCAAGAAACGTTGATGCAAAGCTCTCAAATCAGGATTTACAGTATTCTTACCATTTTAGTTGAATACGTTTAAGATATTCTTCACCATTATTACATACAGCACACAAAAAATAATAAAACCTAAATAAAAAAAGTAAATAAGAACAAAAATCGTACTACAGCAAGTAACTGCCTTTACAGACACGAGGATATGCGGATAAGACCTAATCACTACAGGGTGTGTCAACGAGGTTCCATTTATTAACTAGCCAGTTTATTTCAGTTTGTGGTAATTGCAAAGACAATGTTTTAACAAATTTTGCAGGTTCAGATCAAATAAGCTGGAGCTTCATCTAGTAAGCTTTAAATTTGTATATAAATTTCTGTTTGAGTAATTTCCATCTATTTGTCTATTGACAATATTATAGACATAAAATAAAATTCTTTATTGATTAAATATCTAAAAAAGAGGGAGAAGATTTGTGTAATGACTGTACCTATCACCCAATAAAAGAGGAAAGTCCAGGCACTGTAGGCATGCTAAAATAAAAGAGTGACCATATGTCAAAACACAAAACAAAAAAAAAAAAGTGAGCCACACTCAAGGAATATATATGGAGAGCCTTTATCTGCAGCAATATTAGGTAACTGATATTCATGTTAGTGTTTATGATACCTTCATGGAACCACTGGTTACACTTCTGGCATT